ACAAAAGTCGACTAGCACATTTTGAAAAAGAAAAAGCGGGAAGCAAGTTGCTCCATTAAAGACAAACTGAGTCATGGGAGGCATGTTGACCACAGGAGAAAAAAAAAAGCAACCAATTGATGCCATTTTAATCAGCCACTTGCTTGCTAATGGGGAAGCTCCCTGCTGAATTTTAAACAGCTTCATGCTGCAACTGGCTCACGTGATGGCTGTTTGCTGTGGTCGTATTTCTCCACGCTCATCTCTCCTGTCTAACTCCTGACGACCGAATGCAGTGAGGGGAGTCTAGTTGGGTTAGCCAGATGTGCATTTCTGACAGCTGAGACTGCACTGTGGAGAGTATTCTAAACATGCCATGAAAACCCCAGTCAATGCATTGAAAAAAAAGAATAAACCTAACATCCTGAATCAGAAAAGAAAAGACGTTTTGCTTTGACAGATGAGCAATGGAAATAGTTCATGCAATGCTCTGCCAAGAGAAGCGTTTTGTTTGCCCACAGAAGTGCATTCAGTGTTTGAGACATTTGCGATGACAAGATCTTGAGGACAACCAAGATGTTACAACTGATTTGACAGTTGAGTTATATAATTTTTTTTTAATCTGGTGTAATTCGAAACTACTAATCACTGCGGGGAGGGGAGAGTGTTTCCAACTCTCAGATGTCTCTCTCCTGGATAATAGAATTTGGGATTTCACTCTCAATACCTGGGAGGAACAGACTAAGGAAAGTGAACACAGCTGCCATACGCACAGTGCTCAGAGTAAATACAACACTGAAAAGGTGGCAAGTCTGATTCTCCTTGACACCCACCATGAAAGCCCTGGCATTGCCAGCATGATGGAATAGGGCAGAGTTTCTTAAACTTTTTAAGACTGAGGAACACCAAACAATTTTTTTTTTAAATGTGGAACACCAAGGATTTTTTGTTGAGGAAAAAAAAATGGTCGGGGAAAAGATGTTGAGCCCCCTCCACACACACACACACAAAAAAAAAAAGCCTGCCCCTTTAAAGGTAGCCATTTTGAACTCTGTTCTCTGCAGTAGAACACAGTTTAAGAAACACTGGAATGGGGCCTTAATATAACAGAACCAGGCTCGCTGCAAGCAGGTTACATTCCCACCCCATCCCAAAACATACAGACCCATGAGAAATCCATTGGCTTTTGTCCCAAGTACGGAGCAGCTCATCTGTCAGTGTTGGCAGGAGCAAGCCCAAAGCCTGCACGTGTTGCTGGAGGTCAGTTCCCCCCCTCAGGACTATTGAGGTTTCAGCCGTGCTCACAGCATATCGGGCACTTTCCAGGCTTAACACAGCTCCATCCACGATGCACGATTTAAAGGCAGGCAGGTTGTGGGGCAAGGGAACAGCACAATGGGCTAACTGGCATCGGACCCTGACCATGTCTGGGCTGAACAGTATCAAGTTAGCAGATGTGCATGCACAAGGCACCCATGTGCAACATCAGAAGGCTCCTCAGCTCCCCATAGGTTTGCGGGAGGGACTTGAATGAGGAAAGCAGCAGGCACTGGGGGGAGAAGCTGACACACATGGAGGCAGCTGGCATTTCTGCCACAGACAGGAACAGCAGCATCACCAAAACCAATCAATAAATTAATCAGGCAAATGTCCACAAGGAGGGAGGGGCAGATATGCAGGGAAGGGTAATCTCTATTCTTTCACAATGTCGGTTTTTCAGTAGGAATTAATTATCCTCAAAGAGGTAGCAGAAGAGGAAGGCCACGGCCCACTGGTATATGGAACTCTTTGCCAGAGGAGGCTGGGAAGGCTAGGACTATAATAAAGTTTAAAGAGAAGCTAGATAATTTCATGAAGGTTAGGTCCATAAAAGGCTATTAGCCAGGGGATAAAATGGTGTCCTTGGCCTCTGTTTGTCAGAGGCTGGAGAGAGATGGCAGGAGACAAATCGCTTGATCATTGTCTTCGGTCCACCCTCTCTGGGGCACCTGGTGCTGGCCACTGTCGGCAGACAGGATACTGGGCTAGATGGACCTTTGGTCTGACCCAGTACGGCCGTTCTTATGTTCTTATGAGATCATTGCCACGCAGACCAATAGATTAGCGTCTCACTGTTTCCCTGTTATGCCCCAAGTCTATCTGCAACCATTAGGGATGTAAAAAAATATATAAAATATTAGCCATGTAACTGATAAAAATTGTATTGCGGTTAACCACAGGGCTGCTGGCCTGAAGAGAGCAGTCCCCCGCTCACAGTGTAGCTGGGCACCAGTTAACTGTTTACCAGCAAGTAAGGACTGTGCTTACCAGGTAACTGGTTACCTGTTTACATCCCTAGCAACTATCTGTTGTCTCCCTGTAAACTGAGAGCTTGGGCAGCCACCCAGAAGAGATTCTAATGTCTCCCAGCTGAGTAGCAGAGTGCTCACAGCATGTTTGTATAGGTGGTGCACGGCTGCAAATGCCTCAGTGCACATAAAACTTATTCTGCACATAAATGGAAAAAATTAGAGGGCACACTGCCCCAGTCCCCAACTCTTTGCTATGGTAATACAAATAATGATAAAGATGCAACAAAGAATCTGAATTTGACAGAGGAAGTGGAGAGGGAGCCAATGGAGGGATTCAAAGTCCAAAGTCATATACCTGCATGTATTGCACATTTTATTTTTCCAGCCACAACATTCAGCTCCTAACACAGAGTAAGAAATGTGTATGTACTGAATCAGACTTCAGGGTGGTTGTGAGTTTCATTTGTTTAAAAACAGAGCCGCACACAGCACAACTGTCTACAAAGCAGGTGTTTCTTTCTGGAAGGCCCTAAAGTTGGACTATATTTTCAAATTTCAGACGTTTGAATAATCTATCTACAGTAAAACTCCAATGGTCTGGCATCTGATGGTCCGGCACCATCAGGAACCCAGAAGTGCTCCGGGCAGCCGGACCATTGGAGCTGCTCTGCCCACAGCTTCCCCGATTCAGCCGCTGCTAAAACTGACCAGCGGCTGAATCAGGGAAGCGGGGGCAGGGGCAGCTGGGGCGCTGCCAGGTTGGTCCCATAGCGCTGCCCCTCAGGGCTGCGGGACCCAACCCGGCAGCACCCCAGCTGTCACCGATTCAGTCGCTGCTGAAACCGAACAGCA